ACAGCAGAGGACAACAAGGCCTTAGCCTGATTGGTAAGTAAGGTAACCGTTGGATTTGATAAAGAGTCACAAATTGTTGAGATATTGTTCAAAATCTGATACTTGATTCTAAATTCGTCCTACGAGTTTCAATTCCTTCCTAACGCATTGAAATGCTATTAGATTTTCATCATCTTACGGATAAACGTGGAAAAAGGGGATTCGCTAGGAGCGCTTCTTTTGTTTTGAGAATAAAGAGCGTAAATATTCATACAATGCGCTCTAATAGAGTTTATGTTGTAGCTAATGAACTAACGCATCGGAACAAACCTTAGATTGATTTGTGCACGGTGAAACCATTGATATTATTGATCTTCTCTGATCGATAGAACGGAAATGGGCGATTACGACGAAGTAGCGCTCTACCATATCTCTTTTAAATATATTTTTTACCACTCCGAAAATTTTCAGATTTTGTTTTGTTTTCTTTGTGTTGAAAGATGCATACATTATCACAAATATGTTAAATAAATGTTACATACTGACCTTATTAATGAGAAGTTTACCACCCGAAAATATATTTTTTCGGTGCGTTTTTATTTTTCTAAAAGTATTGGGAAAATTTGACAAAAATCCAAAAAAATCAATTTTTTCCATACATTTCTGAGAAAATTTAAAAGTAAAAATATTTTTTTATCTCATCATTAACAAAAATTGAACCCTCATCAAAAACGACAGGTCAATGGTTTATGGTTTTTCGAGTCCAACTTTATGTCATGATGACTTACAAAAACAAAAGTTTTTCAAAAATGTGATGTGTTTTGATTTTTTCAATATTTCTATAAAAATCAAATCGTAGTTATTTTTTTTCTTTTTTTTTAGCCGTCAACTTCCTCTTAACACTTGGATTTTGAGCTGTAGTAGCACATCAAACAAGGAGTAGAAATTTCACATTTAAATTTAAACATTTAAGGTTAAACAGTATACGTGTGAAACATAAAACCCGTAAATGCTTTCTATGAGTCACAATCAGCGATTTGCTGATCTCTGAGTGAGTGAGTGAGTGAGTGAGTGAGTGAGTGAGTGAGTGAGTGAGTGAGTGAGTGAGTATGTGAAAAATCGTTGATTTTGACTCTCGTGAAGTGAAATAAACAAGTTTAATATATCAAACACATTCTTTGTAACCTCTTCTTGTATCTTACCAATTCAAAATATGATCATAGCATCTAATTATTTCATAATTAAAAAAAACATTGATTTAGCTGAAATGAGTATTTGCAACCTTGCGTGGTTGTCCTGGACTGTCCTGCTTGTTTCTACCTCTTTTACTCTTTTGAGTTAATACACATTAAACATCTAGCAAAACTATTGATTCATTTGATCCAGCAAAAAATATTAATAATTAAAACGAGCCATACTTGAGAGTCAAAGAGAACTCTTTAATGCCATTTGGATTACTTCAATCGACTTTGAAGCATATTTAACTGTAATTGTTCAATCTGTAATAGTTTTGCATCGTAAATAGTCCCTATACGCCTTCATAAACGGCTAAGTAAACTTCAAAACACTTTTTCTCAAAAAAAAAAACCCCAAGATGAAATATTTTTAAACATTCACAGATTTGATAGTTAAGATTAATACTAACTTCCTGTGAAGAAAAAACTTAGGTAGGGTAGAGCGCTACTTCGTCGTAATTGCCTATTTCCGTTCTATCTATCAAAAAAGATCAATAATACCAATGATTTCACCGTGCACAAATCAATAATAGGTTTGTTCAGATGCGTTAGTTCATTAGCTACAGCATAACTCCTATTAGAGCGCATTGTATGAATATTTACGCTCATTGTTTTCAAAACAAAGGAAACGCTTCTAGCGAATCCCCTTTTTCTACGTTTATCCGTAGGACGAAGAAAATCTAATGGCGTTTCAATGCGTTAGGAAGGAATTGAAACTCGTAGGACGAATTTAGAATCAAGAAGCAGTATTAGATTATAAACAACGTTTCGGAAAGGTGAATAAATTTAAAAGTCATCTTTGACATAAATATTCCATTTCTTGTTCAAACGCGTTCAGAAAAGAGAGGTAAAGCGCAGGTTGTGTTTAGTAGGACGGAAATTAGATCAAAACCCTACAAGAAAGTTGCAAAAAAGTGCCTTCAGACATAGCGTGCGTTATTTCAATCTGAAGTACCATTTTCGTGCTAAAAAAAATTCCAAAAACTCCAAAGGCCTATTTTTTTAAATTTTACAGTATCCGAAATTGCCGAATTCAAGCAAAATTGTGCATCATTGCCCATATCAAACAACTATGCAAAGTTTCAAGCAAAACATTTTTTTTTCTCTACAACTTTGTCTCGCACGTCATTTCGATCAGAAGTGACGTTTTCGTACTATAATTTATTGAAAAATGACAAAGGCACCATTTTGAAAAAAAAATATATATGATTCAAAATGGCCGAATTTTTGCAAAAATATGAATGACCCATAATTGTGTGTTATGGGTCATTCACATTTTGCCAAGTGTTATGCATTTTGCATTTGCCAAGTGTTATGCAAATCGGAGAAAATCGAGATTTCCGATGCGTCATTTGGCTCGGAACTGCTCAAGGGATTCAGATTGCAACAAAATTCTATTTGTTTTGACATCATTTGTCATAATATTAGGAATAGAGACAGTAAATTTAGAAATCTATTTCCCGACTACAATGTACAACAAGATTCAGCAGTATATGCACCGTCATACTTGACCATAAAAGGAAACCGCTAGTACCATGATTAATACGCTAACGGCTGCTGAGCACTGTTGATGTTTACCGGTCGTCCAAGGATGAAGTAGGGGAAATAGCTCTAATGTTGGCCTATGGATCTTAATATTGGGCCCATCTCCTGTTCTTCAATTTTTCGTAGAACAGTGCATCATCTGGACAGTACCAAATTATAGTTTATGTATGGGCCCAATATTAGGATCACTCAGCTCGACATTAGAGACATTAACCCTATCACTATTTCACAACCCTCTATCCTCCATCTGTTAATGATTCTCAAAACGCTTATACCGTAATCAACAAGAGCTTTTGCTGTTCAACCCACCAGGTGCTTAAAACTTCGCAATTAATGTGGCGTTTTTATTCATCGACCCTGATCTTTGTGCCATCTTAAACACCGCAGCCGCCATCATAAACAAGTCAAGAACTCGAGCTTACTCAGGAACTAGCATAGGAGGCATATTTGGTTGACCTTCCAGCATGTATGTACGCGGCGCAAGTTTATTGTAATGTAAATCGGTGTCCACCCAGGTCATCTTGAACCTCAACCACCATGACCAATCGCACACCGACCTTCGAACGAACCCACTAATTTTCACAGCAATCCGACTGGGTAAGGTAGTGCAACAGAAAACGCCCATAAAAGTCAGCATCGGAGGTCTAGCCGCAGAATCGTCCGGACAGAAAATCAACCACATGTGGCGACAATGATAAATAATAAAAAAAAGAAAATTATATTACCGACAGAGGAGCATGCATAAATTTCTTCGAATGACCTTCCTGCAGCAGCGGCGGCGACTCTGTGTGTGGCTGCAAAACTGGTCAGGTCAGACAGAGAAATGTTTTGCTCTTTTTAGTGCTTGTCAGAACGTGGATGTCGTCGCGGGGTTTGTTTTTTTTTCTTATTCTGCAGCGAGGATACCTTCTTGTCAGTTCACAGAAATGCCACGAGTGTCTTGCAGTATGAACTTATGACCGTGATTATTATAGACATTAATTGATAGCTTATCGCGGTGCAGCAGGGCTACAGCGATCGCCCTGATCTGGTCGGGTGTCATCCTTGAATCTGTTAATCGCAATTGCTCTGTTTTCTCTAGCTGTGGCAACTATCATAGGCTATAGGCTATCAGCTAGACCTTGTCATCTGGCCGTCGTCCAGCATGCATCTTACGAAACGATGCAATCGATTACAGTTGTGCAGTAGGTGCCTAGAGCACGTATGCTAAAATGGGAATCTCCACGGCGTACCCTCGAAGCAGGCGATGACGATGACGGTCAGAGGTTACACTCACTCGTGCGTTGGCTGACAGAGAGGCAGGGCGTGGATCATTAAAAGTAATGGAATGAAGGTAAAGGTGCACTCTTTTTTATGCAGTTAAATACTGCACAGCATCGCTGTTGATTGGTGGTGGGACAAACAGGACCGGTATGTGTAACGTTGTCGTTTAACTTGTACCAAGGTCACTGTCATATCAACGCTGACAAGGCAACAGAAAGGGAATGCATAAATCATTCTGGATGTTGTTTAGCCGGTTTATCACTAGTTTATAACCATGACGTATAAAGTCCGTTTTGTATATTCTACTGTAGCTACATTTCTACAGTTCCAACAGTTCGTAAACCACGTGTTTGAGAAGACGAATGAGCATTTCCAATTCAAAACGACAAAAATAAAGTCACTTTTGCACATATTTTTAAAAATTTGAAAATTTTTCCAGGATAATTTTTCTATAAGGGCGTTTGTAAAAGAATAAGTTTTAACATTAGTATAGCAGATATTTTGCTTTCTATGTAAGATTTTAGATAAAATTCAATTCTTTCTTAAAATATGTATAGAACAAAATCGTCCTAAAATGGTTAAGGTGACTGAATAGAACGGTAAGGGTATCCTGTTATACTTCAAAATGTTAGTAACAGAACTCAAAAAGTACCAGCCCGATTCGTGCCTTCCTCAAAATTGACCTTTGCTCGCTTTCTACTCTCTCTATATACAATTTTCACACTGCCCCACTGTGACGGAACTTTTAACTCTATACTTTCATCTCCTCATCTATCATATAAAATTACCATTTTAAGTCTGATATTTGTCGTTAAGATCACCCACTAAACTTTAAACTGTTTTAACGGTTTCGTACTGAAGAAAAAAGTAGTTTTATAAACTTTATAGGAACGAAAATAAATAGTACATAACTCTGATTAGAAACTCAAGTGTCCGTAAATTGTGTAAAACAAGCATCAATTTTCTTTTTACTTGCAGGAATCGACGAAACAGTCAAAATAGTCCAATCCATGGGTGGTTTCTGCAAAGGATATCAGGTGGATATTTCCAACAAAGAGCAGGTGTACAAATCTGCCGAGCTGATGCGCGATGAAGTGGGTGATGTAAGTACAATTTTTTAACTTGAATTCCTAGTTTTAGAATCACGTTGTTTCATATATTTTATTGCATAGCAAACTCTAAATAACCTGATAAGAATTAAGCTATTATTAGACGCATTCATACCTAGCGAAGTAATGACACGCGTGAGAACATCGTGTAAAATAGTTTGATCATATGTGTTTTGTTCGGATTCGTTTTATTACGTTAATCCATAGATGACGACTATAATTTGCCTTACGTTCTCAGTAGCATTAAGTAGAACAATGGTGTTCTCCTTTCTTCCTCATTATGTACTGTAGCTGTTTATATTTTTTCTTTTTACATAAGGTCGATGGCATGCCGTCTGGTCAGCCAAGAGCATTGCACTACTAACGAAAATCAATACATTGGTATGCGATTGCTAGAGCTGTGGCGCAAAGCGAAAACTTACACGATTTAACAGACAATTGGTATTCATGTAAGCGACAGACTCATAAATTCAATAATTCTAGACGATTCGTTTCGTTTTCGTTCTGGTGAACTTATCAGCGATCAACAAAAGTAACGATTTAGATATCCACGTGAGTGGGCTTTCGGTTCGTTAATTTGTATTCAACTATTGATTAAGGCGTTTCCGTCCGCCTGGAGCTGGTCAGGGCAGTCATCTTGGCGATCGAGTCGTCGTTAAATCGAATTTGAGCCAGAGAATTCAATTACACACATCGGCATACCGGCCCAAGCCGCCAGAAGTATGCATGTGGAAGATAACGTAATTGTTCGCTCACACGGGGTTATAAGCGATGTTAATTGCTTGTTTCAAGCCAGTTTTCCGACTGATCGATCAGCCGCGAAGTGAGTCGGAGTGCGAAATTTGTTTGGCAACACACGAAGTGTAGGGTGCTGTGGTAAACGGAAGTGAACATCGTTGCTTTATTATGATTTGTAGGTCAGTGATTGCAACCTCACCTCTCGTTAGAATGAAAATTTTATGGTTTATGCGGCTTATCTTTTGGATTCAATTCAGCAATAAAACTTCATCTGATAGCGACTTCAAAAGTAGTGAGTTCCCCTCTCCATGGTTCGATTTTATCGGCAATTGACGTCTTGCACGTTCACCTCCGAACCATTCGAACCTGATCACGGGGGGGGTGGGGGTGACATTGAACAAAAAAAAACATAGTGTTGCAAATATCTTGAGAGTACAGAAAATTATGACTTAAATTTAATATGGTGTAGAGGCAAACCAGCCTTAAGGCTGAAAACCTCCTAAATAAAGAAAAAAAAAATATTATGGTGTAAAGATGACATGTTTCGTCATCTCCTGTTTGATTTAAATAGAGTTTTAAAGTTATGTATTATAAATACTAGACGCTAAAAGTTGCCGAAAAATGCCCTCTATAAACCCACTCAAATAACACATTTTACGTGGATAGTCGACGGGCAACACGTGATCCCCAGTCATATATATGAAATACACTATGATCATATACAAGTGTACTCCTAATTTAAAAACAAAGGTCCTGGTGCCCTACACGGCTGCTCCCCGTGGACGATGTTCTAAAAAACGCTTTTTGCGGTGCCAACTGCGGTTTGTGATGCAATCATCTGAAATAAAAAAAAAAACATGCCAAATCGTTAAGCATGTGTTAAACTAGTCCTTGATCGTTCGGTTTTTTTTTTAATTTTTTTGACAAAATGGCGGCCTTGCAAAGACAGCCGATCAAAGACAAATTTTAAGGATCAACAATCGGCACTTCATGTTGATCCTTAAAATTTGTCTTTGATCGGCTGTAAAAAATCGAAATTAAATGATAGACGAAATCCGAACGATCGTGGACTGCAGAAAATAGTACTGAACAGAAATCAAAATGAATCGGACGAATCGAACACACTTAGAGATAACTAATTTTACAAGTGACGGAATCCGTCTTTGACGTAACAGATGAGACGTAAACAAACATGTCATGTAATATTAAATGCTCCGAGACTGAAAATTTCGTTGCTCGTCGAAAAGTACGTAGGATTGAGTTATATTTCGCGTCTGTTATGACTCAAATTTATGTCAAAATTGACGCTCGTATATGTCACTCTCAGAGCATCTAAATTTATATGATTTTTTCTAAGTGTGAATGTATACATTTCGAGAAATTTTTGGCACCGGTTTTGAAAATATGATTCCGAGATAATCGCGTTTAAAGTTTCAAGTTGGGATTAGTCCACTATAAGTGAATATTTTTGTACGTCGCATAACTTTCACAATTTTCATCGGATCAACTTGATCTTTTGAGGAAATATTCTTGACTTTATATACTTTCGATTAGGACAATAAAAAAAAATCGATTTTTTGAAAGTTTGCAGGTAGGCGTAACCCCTTAATTATTGTTGCGACAGGTGATGAGGTTTCGGGCCATCCAGTTAGCGAAACTTCGGAGTTTGCTTTTAGCTGCAATTCAATTTTTAATTCAATTAGTGTTCGTAATTCATTAGTTTTAGATTAGTTTTAGCTAGTTACGTAAGTTAAGAACAAATAGCTTTAATATAGTTTATAAATCCTACATTTTAGTCCCTTTTTTCCCTTGTCCTGTGTAACAATTATTTAATAAACTTGTGCCTAGTGTAATTATTTTCACGTGTGTGTCAGCCGACTGATCGTGAGTCGATCGTTTTGACACTCCGCAGTTGGTAATATCTGCCCCACTGTTAATTATTCGGCCAGTTGAGCACCGTCCTGAACATTCCCCGACCCGTATTGCTCTGATTTCCCTAGATATGTATCAGCCACTTCCAGAACGGCCAGCTTTGCCACCGGACGCCGAAATAATCCAGTAGATGTTTTGACATCCGCGCTACGACACCTGCCATCACGCCTCAAGAATACGCGCAGCACTTGTCCTCCGCTCCGGCCGTTCCGGAGATGATCGTCTACGATGATCGCTAAGTCACCGGTCTCTACCGGTTTGGTATCAACGAACCACTTCGTTCGTTTGGTGATGGTGGGAAGGTAATCCTTGATCCAGAAGGACCACAATTGATCCAGCAGCCGCTGGTACAAATTCCAGCTGGATCGAAGGGCAGATTTATTTCCATAAAATTATGTTGGACGTTGATTGACCCCACTTGGTAGTGCTCAACATCAAAAAGCAGTTTGGAGTTAGGGCTTCGTGCTCTGCCGTTTCGAGTGGCATATATGTCAATGGTCTCGAATTCACCAGTGATTCGGCCTCGACCAGTAAAGCGACTAAAGTTTCTTCATCGGGCTTACGTTACGTTAGACAGCGATGCTAACGCACACTTCACCGACCGAACCATGCGTTCCCAAGACCTCCCCATGTGTGGTTTTTTTTTTTTTTTATTAATTACTTTATTTGTACAGGCTCAATCGAATAAACTTTACAGAGCCGAGTTATCATTTTTGTTATACATTATTGATTTCTTATATTTAAAGTTAAAGGAGCTGGACCGGATACTCGCGGTTGTCTCGAGGTTAGTGGGGATTTACAATTTTTTTTGTATGGGAAAAGGGAGAGGGAGGTTTGAAATGTGGTTTACGATACAAATATTTAATTAATCCTAAAACATGAACTAATTTCTATTCATCTTGAAAACAAACATAAAAAAAAACCCACACGTACAAAATACAAACTAAACACAAGGTTAATAAAACTTACAATTCAATGTTAATATTCTTAAAGTAAACATATATGAGTTTCATAAACTCCAGATCGCGTCTAGCCAAAATATCCCGAACTGGAACATTAGGTTGTCTACCTCGAGCCCGAAGGGAATCGTACAGTTCAGATCTGACTCCGCGATGCTCAGCACAAGACCAAATAATGTGATCTGCGTCCTGGTAACCTTGTCCACATTCACAGAGATTGCTGTCCTTCAGCCCAACACGGAACAAGTGAGCGTTTAACGAATAGTGATTGGACATGAGGCGAGACATCATACGAATGAAGTCTCGACCCACATCCAACCCCTTGAACCAAGAACTCTTCGACACCTTAGGGATGATCGAATATAGCCATCGTCCCAAACTCCCTTCACTCCACTTATTCTGCCAGCTGACGAGTGACTGTTGACGATAAATGAAGAAAAATTCATCGTAGGCGATTTGTCGATCGTAAATATCGCCTTCCATAGCGCCCACCTTAGCAAGTGAGTCAGCCATCTCATTGCCCGGAATCGAGCAATGAGATGGGACCCATGCAAAGGTGATGACAAAAGATCTTAAAGATAAAGCACTTAAAAGCTCTCGTATTTTCATGAGAAAATACGAGGAGTGCTTTACCGGCCTCATAGAGCGAATAGCCTCGACAGAACTGAGACTATCCGTAAAAATAAAATAATGATCTGGTGCAAGTGAGGCGATCGTTTCTAGCGTATAATGTATTGCCGCCAGCTCAGCAACATATACGGAACAAGGAGCTTGAAGCATTCGAGAGGCGCTATGAAATTCGTTAAAAATACCAAAACCAGCGGACGACTCTATTAGTGATCCATCTGTGAAGAACGATCTTGCGGAATCAACTTGGCCAAACTTTGCAGCGTAAATTGACGGAACAATCATGGAACGATGATGTTCGGGGATCCCACGAATCTCCCGCGTCATAGATAAATCAAAACTAACTGAATTGCCGAAGTCGGAGAAGCATACACGATGAGGATTATGCTGTGAAGGGCTGACATCCTGTGTTATGTACACGTAGTACAATGATATAAAACGAGTTTGAGGGTTCAGCTCAAGAAGCTTTTCAAAGTTTTCGATTACCAGTGGGTTCATAACTTCGCAACGGGTGAGGAGCCTGAGGGACAATTCCGAGAACCGATCCGATAGTGGCAACATGCCCGCCAACACTTCTAGACTCATCGTATGAGTCGAGTGCATGCATCCTAACGCGATACGAAGACAACGATACTGGATACGTTCCAGTTTGATGATGTGAGTTTTAGCCGCCGACTGGAAACAAAAACTACCGTATTCTAAAACCGATAAAATCGTTGTCCGGTACAACGTTAGAAG